CTAAGTATAGTACGACGCCGGGGAGGGCGACAAACTGTAAGTGGTGCTAGCAACACAGCCATATTAAAAAAGTGGAGCTTTGATTTGAAATGGACAGTCAAGTTTTGAATTGTAAATGGTTATAAATGGCAAAAAGATTAGCACAGTCTCGCCCGTAATGTCAACAGCTGCTTTTGCGTCCCTGGTAGAGCACACGGGAGGTCAGTCAGTGCCCACTGGTGCTTCTGGCCTTGACGTTGCAGATTATTTTTCCCATCTAGGTGGCACTACTGTCCCATGTCGGGGGTGGTCTTGCTTGCCATCTGTCACTATTAACGCTAACAAGCCCCAGAGAGAGTCCATTTGATAGGGGCTGAGGTGTCCAAGATTCTTTTCGTGCAAGGTTACGCCGTAGGGGTCGCACGATTTGAGCAAAATCGGAAAATCACATTGAACTGGAGTGACTGAAAAGGGCCCCAGTGGATATCGCTGCTATTGAAACTGTGTGCTAGTATAAACCAATTAAGCCCAAAAAAAAAAAGTGCATCCACTATTAACTTCTTGCATTGAAAACGCCTGGCAGGCGCCGGCGCCGTTTTACCCCTGCCAAATATTCGAACCCGTTCGAGTGACATCATCAGCATCCGCGCGGGTGTCTTCCAGTCTAGCAGCGCACAAACGAGCGAGGCCACAAGAGAGATGATTTTTACACCAGAAGAGTTTTTATTCCCGGCTTTTTCACTCTGCCTCAAAAAGTGCAGATGGTGTACAACTTGCACAAGTTTCAGAACATTCACACGCAGTAGTGAAAGGATGTGCTCCAATGTTGAGAAATAGTCCGCAGGCAACCCATAAATAAGCTATAAAAAAGATGCTTTCGGCTGATGGGATTACCGGATCCAGTGAGGACTCGGTGAAATCAAGAGGGTCTTGGTCAGGGGGAATTTATTCCTTGACAAGGGCAGTAAATTCTGGAGGAGAAGAAGGCAAAAAAAAAGACATGAAGGGAGAGCTTTGGTGAAAGAGGGTCTTGGTCAGGGGGAATTTATTCCTTGACGAGGGCAGTAAATTCTGGAGGAGAAGGAGAAGGCAAAAAAAAGACATGAAGGGAGAGCTTTGGTGGTTAACCAATCGGAAATTGTCTTGGCTTTCTATTTTGTTGCACTTTGAATTTCTTTTGACACGGTTGCGATTTCTGACGCCGTTTCGACGTTGCGTATTTTCAGACCCTACTTTACCCTACCATGCAAAAAAAAAAAAAATTAACACAAAGTCATACCTGGATTCTTAAAAAAAAACATGGAAAAAAATAGTTCTTGTAATTGAATGAGTTTTAAAGATAAATAAAAATTCCTTGCTTGCTGTTTTGCGCGAATTTGAAATTTGGGTAAAAAAAGTTTTTGGGCGGAACCATGTCAGAAATATGTCTTAAAACGGGAATGTTTCATGCCGCTTTTGTTTTTTTGGACTTGGGTGCTAGGGAGCGGTTTTGTGCTTCTCGTGGGTGGAGAAGCAACAACCAGCGGGCCTGTTCAGACATGCGCTCATTTGAAAATGTAGCCCAAAGCTACATTACACTGTGTGTGTGTGTGTGTGTGTGTGTGTGTGTGTGTGTGTGTGTGTGTGTGTGTGTGTGTGTGTGTGTGTGTGTGTGTGTGTGTGTGTGTGTGAGATGTCAATTAAAAATTCTTTTGTTTGAAGTATTTGTGATTTCTTATTTCGCTTGCGTTTAATTAGCTTAATAGCATACTTGGCTACATCATTTTAAACAAAATTTTAGCTAACTGTCCCAATGCAGAAAAACAGCAGTTTTGTTTATGTCCTTGTTGCTTTTCAGTCATCCAAGTCGAGGTTCAATCAGGGCACCTGGACTTTTCTTGTTTGTTAAATGTTTTTATTATTTGTTTCTTCTGTGTTCTAAAAAAATGGCTCATGCTGCTTAGCTAACGATGATGTGGAAGTTAATGAAAAAAAAATAGCTCAACTCAAATTTTTTTTCTTTCTAAGCTTTTGTGATTTCTTATTGGATACAATCAAACTGAAGGCAGCATTGGAGTCTAATCAATAGGTTATGTTGGCTTTGTTAACTTTGGATTTCTAATTACGCCTTTGTGATGACTTATTGCAGTTCAATCTGACATTAATGTCAATGAAATGCACATGAAAAATGTTTTGGACTTGTTTTTGATTTCCTGTTACGTAAAATGAAACTGACATTGTGCTCGAGATCCTAACCACAAGGCATTTAAGCGTTATCTTATATTTATATACTTATAGTTTATATATATTTTGTTGCATTTCTAAATCACATGAATATTAATGAATGCTGATTCCAATTCGGATTGTTTGGCCTTGGTGGGAAGTGCTGTTTCATTTGAAATCCAGTATTTGGACAAAATCCATTTTTGAGTAAGTTTATGGTCAAGCATTAGGAGATGTTTTACCATCAATGCCAATCATGCCGTCACCATCGCTGTCACCGGCGGCGAGGAAGGTTTTGGTCTCCTTGTCGGTGAGAGCTCTGGCAGACGCAGAAAAGTTCTGCAGGAACAGCCTACAAACCAGGAAAACCCGAGTAGTAAGCATTATCCAGAAACAAATGCATCGGCACATAAAAAAAAAAAAATCATTTAAAAAATGTTGATATTCTTGTAAAACTGCAGAGAGCCTACTAGTTTCTGGAACTATAAACTAATTTGAAATTCTAAATTTGAAATGCACTTTGAAATTTTCATTTTAAATGACTATAAAATGTTAATAGCGCCTGGAATTTTTTTGAGTCATTTGAAAAAATTTCGGAAAATTTTGATTTCAAAATGTTACTGATTTTCAATTCCAATGAATCTTGATGCATTGGAGTCAAACGAATTGTTAGCCTGATAGCATACATGCCCAAGTAATTTTAAACTTACTGTCCCAACAGCATAGAATAAAACAAGTCACTCATAGGTTTGCGAAAACCCTTAAGTCCATCTTGCATGTGTTTGGACGTCTCACTTGAGCTCCTCCTCCTCAATGAAGCCGCTGTTGTCCTGGTCAATGATCCGGAAGGCTTTCTTCACATCATCGGGAGACTTGCTGGCCAGGCCAGACACCTTGAAGAAAGTCTTGAAGTTGAACGATTCGGGGGCTGCAAAGCAAACACCAAAGCACAAGACAGCAAACAACTGTTAAATGAGGTAGAGAAACGACATGAGATAAGAGGTAAGGTACAATGAGAATGATACGATCAGATAGATTTGATTAAATTGTTGAGAGAAGTTGATAAGAAAGTGAAGATATCTAATTAAACTCTCTATGTAGCTAGCTAGCTAGCTTAGCTAGTTAGCTAGCTAGATAAAAATTTGTCTTATAGCAATACAATTTAAAAGGTTAATTTATTGCCCTGAAGACTGAAAAAATAGCATTTGATGTCATCCCTGCTCCCTAAAATTAGACTGAACCATACATAGAAACATTAAGGAAACGTCACATGTTTGTAGTGCGCGTCATCAGAACCATACTTTTTTCTTTTCAAAAATAATAAAAAATATATATATCGTTTCGATTACCAATTTTTTTTTGTGAGTGGGTTGCACTGAGCCCCAACCCCTCTGAAAAATGTGAACCATTCCACAACTCACGTGATCCACAGGAATTTTCATCACTGAAATCCTTTACAGGCCATGGGAAAAGCAAAAGTAAGATCATGCAAAAAAAAATTTCTGTAAATTTGATGCTATTCCAACTATGACGAGTGGGGTTACGATCTTGCGTCAGCCTTTTTTTTTTTTTTTTAATCAAACTATATTGTTGAATCATGGCAACGTGCTTGTAGGATCAACATGCTATGTGCATAAACACCACATTGCTACATTTCACATATTGGCTAATTTCATGCTCCAAGCTCACTTTGTTTCTCAACAATACAAGAAAACAATGACATAATGAAAGAAAGTGGCCCAAGATGGGTCATCGCATAATTTGAGGCCTTCGACATGTGTAAAATCCGATTTTTAGTTGGGGAAAAAAATCAGAAATGCTCAGTCGCTTTTCGAAGCATTACATTGAGCGCGGAATTCAGTGAATGGCCTACACACCTACAGATGGTGATCGATGAATGATATAAACGACATTTAGATTTATATTACCTGAACAGCCATCCAGAGCTGCTTTCATCTCGGCATCATTGAGAAAACCAGTGAAGGCCATTTTATTTTTCTGATCTACAAGAGGGAGAAACAGCAATGATGATAAATTGTAAATAAATCACATACATGGGGTGAATTTCAAAACTTCAAAGTGGATTCAAGTGGACAGCTCGATGACTTTATAAGGTCTGCTCAAAACAACTCAAACTGCAAAGTATTCCAATGTAAATACAACAAATCATCTGCACGATTTAGTTTATGACAAAAATGTTGACTTTTCTGTTATCCTACTGCAGAAGGGGGTCTTCCCAACAAGATACATGTTGTCGCTGTGCCCCCCCCCGGGGGGGGGGGTCTTTTTGAGGGTGTGCGCACTCACCTTTGCGCTGCGCGTTGAAGCGAGTGACAACAACCAAGGCGGATTCCGAGTGAATGTCCCAACAGCGCTTTGCCTGCCTCTTATATATCCTCCAGCAACACCATTTACAGAGCTTTGGGCTCTGGGTATCGGGTGCCAAGATGCAATGGTGCTCGAAAAAATGTGTCTAGTAGTCCGGTCTATTTTTAAGGCAACAAATGAGGGATGCTTTCATGTGCGCCTCGGCCAATTGGTGAAGGGTCCGAGAAAAGCCGAGCGACGCCCGCTGATTTGCACCGTGTTTGACTTTGGAGTAAAGTCAAAAGTCAAACGTGATTCGAGAGTCATGAAGGGCGACGTGGAATTAAAAGAAATGTGCGCGTAATGGGCTTTTCCTGTTCGTGGACCAATCGGAAGGTCGCTGTCGGTTGCAAGTGACAACAACACTCGGGAGGTGTTTATCGCTGTGATGATGGCTTCTATCTTCACGGTGAAAGCCACATGCTCATTGACACTTTTATATTGGGACCCGCAAAGACTAAGGCGAAAAGGCCCGGGGCTACGTTGTTATTTATTGCCATTTACATGCTTGTCAGCATTTTTCAACCGTTTCTTTATTTAAATAAAGCCCCCCCCCAAAAAAAAAAACACTGGGGAAAAAATATGGGAAAAGCCAAAGTGAAATGTCCAGTTTTATCGCACATTGTAATTTGTCACGCACTTTAAATAGTCATACATAGGTTACATCGTTTTTCCTGCTATATTTAAAAAATAGTTTTTCCTGGTTTATTAATGCCGCCCGCCCCCCCCGCAAAAAGCTAAAATTAAGACGGAAATAACCATTGAGCAACATTAAAAAGTAATATGCTCAAATGAGGTAGCTGAATAAAATTAAAGAAAAATAAGCAAACAAAGAAAAATGGTATACATAACGATTTAAAAAAATATCCATCCATCCATTTTGTAATCCGCTTATCCTCACAGGGGTCGTGGGTGTGCTGCAGCCTATCCCAGCTGTCTTTGGGCAGTCGGTGGGGTGTATCCTGAACTGGCTGCCAGCCCCCCACCCCCAATAAATTAATAATAATAATAATAATGAAAAAAATAATAATAGGGGTGGTCCGGTGGTTAGCACGTCGACCTCACAGTGCAGAGGTAGCGGGTTCAATTCCAGCTCCGGCCTCCCTGTGTGGAGTTTGCATGTTCTCCCTGTGCATGCGTGGGTTTTCTCTGGGTACTCCGGTTTCCTCCCACATTCCAAAAACATGCATGGCAGGCTGATTGAACACTCAAAATTCTCCCTAGGTGTGAATGTGAGCGCGGATGGTTGTTCGTCTCTGTGTGCCCTGCGATTGGCTGGCAACCGGTTCAGGGTGTCCCCCGCCTACTGCGCGAAGACGGCTGGGATAGTCTTCAGCATCCCCTGCGACCCTTGTGAGGATAAGCAGATCGGAAAATGGATAATAATAATAATAATATAAAGTTCTATGGATATTAATTTTTAATTCATTGACATATGTCAATTAAGGAGAAATTAATTGAATAATAGTACCGTATACAGCAGCGGAAATGAATTCTGAAGTCCACAAAACTAATCTAGGAAGGTTGACAGCTCGGGACTCTTATTTGTGATAACTCCATCATAAAACACTTTCAATGAATTGATAGTTTAATCAACAGTAAACAATTTCCATTTAGTTCACATTGTTTCCCATAATTCCCAAAGAAAGCTTCCAGTCTGGAATGTTGTTAGCACATAATACAGTCGAACCTCCTTTCAACGTACCCCATTCACGACGTTTTCACCGCTATAACGTTCACATATCGGTTTCACGTAATTCCTTTTCCATTTGCCGATTTTACAACAAACACCTTCATAACGTCAACTTCGGTATAATGACCAGATTTTTCCAACAAAGTAGTGAAAAGGCCTCACTACAATGAACCATGAGAAGCTAACTGCCGCTGCGACTTTGCTTATGAACAAAATGTGCACGTTGCTTAGTAACGCTACTGATCGACTCGTACATTGTTGCACTTCCGGAGGCACGGCGCGGTCCTGAGCACATGACCTCAGATCATATCTGGTAAACGGAAGCACGTATTGCTGTCTGTGAAGGCTAAAATTGCCTCTCACTTTCGAAAGGGGACCTCCCAGATGAAGCTCAGCCGAGACTACGAAATGGCAAAGTTGACGATTATGACAATAATCCGTAATGCCAACAAAATCATGGCAGAGTTCGAGGCCAACGGATTTATCGTCAACGGCTTCGGAGTGCGGCGCATCCTGACCGGGAGGAGGCACTTTTCATTTGCTGACTTTTCACAGATGACGTAGGAACGCTACAGTTGTTTGTTTCATATCTTATACAAAAATCTTTCTTCATATACCCGTATTTGAAATTCATATGTTTATACTGTATTACATGTTCATGTTTTTATACCTATAAATGTTCATACTGTAATATATACATCGTAGTTGGCGGCCATTTTATTGGAAATGGTTACAAAAAACTACCGTCATAACGTACAGATTCATTATGTACCTCGAGGTTCGACTGGATATGATTTCCATCCATTTAAAAAAAAAAAAATTTTTTTTTCTGTCTATTTTCAGGTCATTAAGAACAGCAGGCAGTGGCATCAAATCCCAAATACATTTATTGATCATTTGCGACTTGTTGAGTCACGGCAACACACACGTATGGCCTCCGGCATCCGTCGTATCGACCGCCAAGGACAGCAACAAGTAGCCAAGCAGATTTGGAATATCTGAGCTTTCATCAAACAATCTGGAAAGTCGGGATCTTCAAAGTCATGGCCAGCGAGGGGCGTTTCTCGTTATTTCAGGAGATCGCAGAACTCTGGTGGAGAAAAGAACAGAAAGGAGGAGTTGAAACACAATATGCGTGGGCAGATGGCTTGAACCAATGTGACATTTTGGAGAGTGGGATTTCAGCACTAGATAGTGGAGAGCTCCCTCTAGCCCCCTCTCTGCATTTACTATTTTTTTGTTGTTATAAGCACCAAAGAGAACGGATGAATGGATAGTTGGGCTTTTTCACATGAGAAAAAAAACTCATGGCACACCCAAAAAAGTATATGTAGTATACTGAAGTAAGGATGATCTTGTCTCAATTTGGGCCTGTTTATTTGAATGCAAAGTGATCATTCAGTTTTAGCTGCAGCTCTAGTTCATGCTGAACGCAGCCACATCCCCAGTGAGAAGAGGGTGTGCACACATGCGCAACCATATTATCCATGTTTTTTCCACTTCCCCTCTAATTTTATTTATTTATCCATTTTCTGAATGGTTTTATCCTTACAAGGGTCGCGGGGCGTGCTGGAGCCTATCCCAGCTGTTTTCGGTACGCCCTGAACGGGTTGCTAGCCAATTGCAGGGCACACAGAGACAAACAACCATCCGCGCTCACACTCACACCTAGGGACAATTTTGAGTGTTCAATCAGCCTGTCATGCATGTTTTTGGAATGTGAGAGGAAACCGGAGTACCCGGAGAAAACCCACGCAGGCACGGGGAGAACATGCAAACTCACACAGGGAGGCCGCGGCTGGAGTCAAACCCGCCGCCCTAATTTTATATATTTTTTTCAAAATTGAGATGAACAGGTTTCAGGTCACCTTAAATTGTAGAAAGCGTTTGGAAATTATTGATTATGGTCTCATTGTTTTACATCACAAAAACCGGCATTTGAAGAGGGGTGTGGAGACTTTTCCTATCTAATGCATGCAGGAAGCCGATATCCGATTCGGTTCAAATGTTCATCCTCGGCGGGCGTCTGCGCTCAGGCAAGATCTAAACCAGTCGAAAACCTTCGATTCCGATTTTGCCGTCGCCATCTCTGTCTCCTGCCGCCATCAGTGTCTTGGTTTCGGCCACCGTCAGCTCCCTCGCGTCGGGGGAGAAATTCTGAAGGAATAGTCTGATGGAGGAAAAAAAAAATAAGATAAGATCGGAAAAGGTTAATGAACCGTTTCAGCATTCAAAGAGAGACTTCTGCTTGAGGGCTCCTCCATTGCAGCTATCTGTGACACCCTCGATGCTTATTTAAACCCCACACATACTTTAGCTCCGCCTCCTCAATGAATCCGCTCCTGTCCTGGTCCAGGACCGTGAAGACATTTTTCCAATCTGCTTCCGACAAGTCGGCCAGTCCCACTTGTGAGAAGAAAGTTTTGTAGTTGAATGTGCCTGGAGCTGTGAAGTGATAAAAATGAAAAAAAAAAATTTAATGGTTCCAATGTCTCGTACTATTAAAGCTTATCTACTTATACCATTGAATTAAAAAAAAAAAAAAATTGAAGCGTGAATGTTAAAAGTCCTTCCTCCATCAAAGCACTTTATGAGCGAATCAAAATTTATTCCAGATTAAAGTTGAATACCTCAACAAAAATTGAAATCATTTCTAAACGATTAAATGAAAATATACTGTATTTTAGAGTGACATGCACTGCACTAGTGCCCCGTGGGCAGCAGGAAAACAGTCATTTCCAGCTTTGAGAGTGAAACAATATCATCAATGAAATTCAAATAGAGAAGCTATTCATGCCCAAGATGCTTGAGCGATGTCATTGCCTCCAGCGAAAAACAGAAAAAGTCACTGAGTTTGCCCGAAGCGCCACTCCAGAGCCCTGACATTCAGATTTCATCGCAGCACCTGAGCAGTCATGCAAGCGGAATCGCTGGAGATAAATAATCAAGACTTGGGATTGCCAGATCTTTGCTTTGCAAAATCAGACTTGTCAAGACTTTTTCAATGGAAATTTGAGGGCCCCCCCCCAGCCCCCCCCCCCAAAAAATAGCGTTTTCATTGCTTCATTTCCATTACCTTAGAACAGAGGCGGAGCGAGACTTTTATCCTTTGGGCATTGGGGTGGCCAATGCTAACTCAGGGGGTACTCAAAACAAAAACTTGGAAACACCTTATCAACAATTCGCATCCATTTTTTGAATAAAATTTGCACACACACAAATATACAAACAAAACATTTTTCAGTAGCTTTGTAAATCATAAATAGTTTTTAGCTGACCCAGTGCCTTAAACTAGCCTAAGTAAAAATTTTTTTTTTTTTTTTTTTTTGTAAACGAACAGTGCTTTTCACCGAGTTTGTGTGTAAAATACCGGTAATACCTACGGGGCTTGTGGGAACAAAAACTGCTCTCCTGCCAAACGGCCGCTTGGTTTCCTATTTTCAGTGCGAACAAACGTGTCAAATCTTTAGTTGGTATTCGGATTCAGATTCAGAAAACTTTATTTATTATTTGTTGGATTTTTAGATATATAAATATGTACAATCCTGATTAGCGTGTGGAAGCCTTTCCATGTCTGCCGGCTTGACTCACCTTGACATGCCTGCACGGCAGTCTGGATGTCCTGGTTTCTCAGCATCCCTGCAAATGTCATGATCCTCGCTTTCCTCTGCGCTTGCCTGAGGGAGTCACGCACATTGCACGCAAGTGACAGTCGAGCCAAAGTGTGGCGAAGGGGCTTTTCCTCTTTCGGTTGACATTTGAAAACACGTCAAGTGCCATATAGTGTACGTTTTTTTTTTTTTTTTTGCTTTTGTTTCACCGTTGCAAAAGCGGCACTGAAAATATTGTTTGCCAACAAGTCCTAAATATGAATTTTGTTCGTGTGGCTTTTTTTGCTCTACAACTACAGTGACACCAGCTCGCCGAGACAAAGCCCGTGAACATACTTGGCCAATGAAGATGATTCTGCTTTGGATTCTTCCCTATTCAACATGCCTTTACAAAGCAGAAATTGTTGCCCTAAATAAGTTCATGCAGAAGAAATTTTTAAAGATGCTTACCTTTCTGCAGCGAAGCTTTTTTTTTTTTTTTTTTTTTTGCACTCTGTGCCTGGGTTTGGTTCTCCTGCCGGTCTGTGATGCTGAGTGCAAGGAGCAAGCTGACGCATCTGTCATCAAACCCGTGGAGAGTTTCCCCACCTCACCACAGCAAGCATCCTCCTCTGCCTCCCCCTCCTCCTCCTCCTCCTCCTCCTCCTCATCAGTTAATCAGAGCACATAATTCTCTTACTCACATTGTTTTTGCAAACTTGCAGAAATGCTCTGAGGAGGAGTAAATAATTCAGTGGTGAAATTTGGGTGTAATTATTGCTGCTGCCGATGTAGTTGACTTCAAATATGATAAATGAGTTGCATTTATGAAGCCTTTTATCCTCCAGGCACTTCAATATCGACCTGTTTCAATTACACAATGCTGATGGCTTCTGCTGCTGTGGATCGTGAAGAACACATTCAAGACCAATTGCAGGTTTAGGATCCCACTTAAGTTTGTACTTCCCTATGCTGTCAAGACAGTAATCATTCAATTGATAGACAGCAAGTCTGTCTCTTGAGCCGAATGTTGGATAGAATACAGTACATGAATATTTCAAGTTAAATTAAGTTAAGCAACAGCCTCACTTGGTGGTGGTGTCGGGGGTGGGGCGGGGCAAGGGGCATTAAAACAGGCTAAAATGCAGATGTCAGAGTGAAAGGCAGGGCAAGAGACAATTTGCGTACAAGGAGTACGTTACCCAAGTAAAAGAGGTGTTAAGACGATCAAACTCTAGTCAGTTCAGTATTTCAATTGTCAAGAATCTTTTTCCTATCCCATGCCATTTCAATCCTTCTAAAGTCCAGTAAGACCCCCTCCCCGAACCGGCCCCCCCAAAGATTAATTTCTGTGCGCTTATTCCGAATCTGCACTCATTTTTAAAAACAATTATATAATAACAATCATAACAATAATATAATATGTAATAAAGTTATATACTAAATAATATTTCTGGAGTAATATTTATTCATGTTGGACAGGTGGATTTGTTTTCCTGAAACACTATAACTAAAAATTACAACGCTTGGTAAAATCTGAATTGCGCAAGCTTTTATAGGTCAAACTCAGAAACAAAAAATAGGTGAACAAACATTCCGTTTTTGCGTTCTCCTGAAATGTGATGAATGTGGAGGTAAGAAGATTCCGTTTCTGCCCGATTTACGTTTCAGTCTGTAGTTTTTTACTATTAAGGACGGAAATCAAATTGATCCTCTTTTTATCAGTCGTTGTTGTTGTTTTTTTTTAAACCAAATATTTGTACTTGCACCTGAGTAAATACGGAGTTTGAGTACTTTTTTTTCACCTCTGGTTGTAAACTTTCCACAACCTTCACGAAATGTGTTGTTTCTATGACAAATAATGATTTCCACCAATTGGCTGTATGTTTGAGCGTACAGTATTCCAAGCCGCGATTGGCTATTATGAAGCATCAATCACGTGATGGTGCCCGCCCCCATTTAATGTTGTGACGTCGTGAAGGAATATGGCGCTTCGGAGGAGATGAGTTTCCCGATAGTCCGGTTTGACTTATTCCTCTCAGCTAGCGTTTTCTCGTGAAACGCCAAGCGGCACCCACTAAATATGACGGGGCGACGAGCGTGTTCGCACCTTTTATCCTCACGGGCACCGGAAACGGGCGTTTTGTAGCCGCGTTTGCGGTCGTTAGCTTAGACTGTTGCTAGCCGAAGCTAAGTGGCTAAAGAGCGACAGAATGCTTGTTTGTGCCATCAACATCAACGTTCGCTTGTTAACTAATGACTGAAACACGACTTCAAGTGGTACCGGGGCATCAGTTGTTGACCACCACGATTCCCAACATCTAGCGGCGTGTTTGGAAGCTAAACTGGGAGAATGAAGAGCTGTCATGGATGTGTTTTGCTGCTGCTCAACGCGATCTTGCTGTGGGCATGCTGGCCGGCTCAAGGGGCTCCTCTTCACTACCAACAGAGCACAGGTAAAGGCGTTTGGGGAATTATTGCTTGCTTTTTGTTTTTGTTTTTTTTCTCTCCTTTCACCACATATTTATACAACCTCGTCAGCGTTTCCTCGCCGAGAGCCAATGTTAGAAGGAAATTATATGAATGAATAAACGATTATTATTTCTCTTGGCTGCACTGATTTCATGAATACGCTTTTTTTTTTTTTTTGGTCCAATCATATTTCAACCTCGATGAGTTGCCCTGTCAAACTAATCTGCCCAGGGTCTTCAGAATCACTCGTCCTGAAAACTGTATCTACACCAACCAATCAGTTTTCAATTGGATGTCATCCTCACAATGCCAGCGATGATGATGTCAGCATTTTTGCATCATCCCATTGTTTGGTCAGCCAAAAGACATCCACACGAATGTACACACATTGTTGCATTTAATCACCTGCGTCCGCTGAGCTACTGGTTGAAAGACGGTTTTGTCGTCAACAAATGTCATCATGTTAGCTGATTAGTTTTGCGACATGAATGAAGTTCTAATTAGCACACAAATATTGCCTAATCGGTATCCGAAACATTTAAAGATGGCGTTTCACTTTGCACGACTGCCCTCATTCCTCACTGTCCTGCTTGCATGAATTTTTGTAGACTCGCGGCGGCCGTAATGTCCCAACTAGAGTTGTCAAAGTTAATCGATAATTACATGCAGTTCTTTGAGCTGCAGTCGCACGGCTCACCGCAGGTACAGAAAAGTCACCTTTATACAGCCTTCAGTCAGTCGTTGACATGCATCACATAACACAGTCAGTGGTCATGACTAAGTCATCGTGCGTCCTTTCACTCTTTGAGGAGCTAGTATTAGGATAATACAACATATCAAGAAATGGAATGGTTTGTCATGGTCCCTATCCAAGACACAAGTAAAAGCAACAGTGACTCCTTTGTAAATGAAGCTGCCAATGTATAACCGCGACACACATTCCGAGTTTATCATCCCTAGTCAATTATTAGCAACCGCGTCGTTCGCTCAATCATAAGACAGTATGCGGGAAAAGAATTGTTGATGGTGTTTCATGATTTTTTTTTAATGACATTGTCGCCTGTCCTTTGCCCGCTCTCAAAATGGGCAATACGCGTGGAATCGAATGCAGTAGGTGATGCCGAATGAAGCTGAGATGAATAGCGCGGGTTGGTGTCGCGACTTTAAGCTCGTCGTATCACGGCTCACCGCAGTGAGTCATTCGCAAGCAACCCATTTTTGTATCTGGGCCTCATAACTTAGATTTTCTGGATCCAAAGTTCATGAAAATTCCATGAATGTGTCTCAGCCCTGTGTTGTATAAAAACCCAAGGAGACGTAACAAAAGAGACTGTAAAGAAATGTTATAAAGAGTAATTACGGTATGTACTGAAGTAACCTTCTGTTGGATGTGTGCCTTTAAGGGGCCAGCAGCTCCTTGCAAATGTTTTTATTTCGCATTTGTGTTTGACTGTTTTTACCATAACAGTGGCTCTCCTTGCCCACACGCAAAGGCATTTAACTAGTCTTTTTTTTCTTTCTTTTTTTTTTTTTTGCTTTATCTGAGCGGCGACACATCCAAAGCTAGTTCCAAACTAAAATGAAGGTTGAGATCAATCATTTCAAAACTTTGTCCACCATTAATGTGCACTGTCACCTGGACACCTCGAGTGGAGGTAAAAATAACGGAGCTAATGTGATTGCGCAAGTGTGTACCCCGTCATATAGCTACAGATGTGATTCTGCTTAGAGGTAAGCAATCACAACCAAACTCTGTTAAAGGTGAGTCAGCAGATTTGCCACCATTTCACGCGCCTCTGAAAACACAGAATAAAGTTCAAATGTGAGAAGTTTTAGTAGGCTTTTTTTTAAAAACTTTTTTTTTGGGGGAGGGGGGGTGCTATAGCTGAAGCCTGAAAGTTGAACTTTGTTGTGTCGATATTTTATATCCGCTCTACAATTGTTTGGCTACTTTGAACAGTTGACATCTGATATTTTTTCCATTTCTACTCGGGGCTGACTGCTCTTGAAGAACTGTTCATAATTCCCTCACCTTTGACTAAAACCTGAATTCCAGCTGAAGAAACACAGACCCAAAGCATGATGTTGCCATATAGCTTACTCGTCAATAATTGTGTTGCGACACAACACAAAGCAAAAAAGAAAAAATGCAATCAACCAAGCAAAGGATATCTGAATCTGAATCTGAACAACACTTGTAACTTCAGGTACCATTGCAATGCAAATAAAACCGTTTATCTCTTGTGACAATCAGGTGACAGTGACACTTGTCATCTGCTAGTCAGGTTGAACATTGGCCTCGACTTTCCTTCCCGTTGCTCGAACTTTCACTGACCTCCTTTCACTGACAGCCTACACAATTGCCACGCGAGAGCGCAGCCGAAGATCGATCCGTCTTTGCCTTTTCTACGTAGCCCAGCCAAGCGCAATTGTGCCACAATCAGATGAGATGCCGGCGTGTCTTGTGTGACTGACTCGTAAGTGCTTTCAGCACAACGTGGGGGTGAGAGAAGTGTGTGTCAGGTGTTAAACGTGGTGGTAAACCCTTACACACAGACTGCATCCTGCTTTTGTTGAGGTCTAATGTTCCAGAAATTGGACAGGGACAGTGTTCACCCGTCCTATCACAACTATTCTTTACTAGTACAGTGAAACTCCTCTACAACGAAATCATGTTTGCAGCAAGAAATTTTTCACAACAGGGGACTTTTCACTCTAGCAAATTTTATCTTGGATGTAAACACACACACACTCACACCAATGTATGTGTCCTCTTGTTTGTTGTTGCCGTTTCCGAGCGAAGCTGTAGGCTGAGGTTGGATTTGACTTTTGCGGAAGGCTTGTTTTCGTTGTAGTGAATCTCGTTGCGCGGCAAGGGCAGAGAAAAAGATTTCGTATTACGCAACAGGGGGATTTTTTTCGTTGTAGGGGGAGCAGAAAAGTGGGAATGGCTTTAATGCATGAAGATTTTTTTCACACTAGGGGGTATTTTCGCGCATGTAGGTTTTGTTGCTGAGGAGTTTCACTGTACTGATTTGCTGGAAGCGATGCAGCAAAAGTCGAGCTGGGCGATATGACGCTCGATATCGCAAAAGACAATCGATAACATTGAATAGAAAATATATCGTGATTGTGATATAAAAATGTCCAATTTCGTGATAGACGAAAAGGCAAAGAAGGTCCCCTACTAACCTGCATGAGTAGCCGTTGTTCGAACTCTTAACAGAACAAGTTAACGCCTTTGAGTATTGTTGCTGCTCTGTGTGTTGAAGTAGCCGTTGTCACCGTTACGTCGATGCTCATTTCTGTTAGCCAGTATATGGTGTTTAGCATGACAGGTTAGCATTGTGCTCTTTAGCCATAATTATATGGTTTGGTAGAACATTTTGGTGTTTAAATGTACATTTAGGACTGGGCGATATGGCCCTTGAATTCATTATCACGCTTACCATCTAGCATGCCTCCAGTAGTACCCGAGCAGTGCGGAATGGATGTGTTTCTTTTTTTTATTTTTATTTTTTAACTAGCCCAGAGCTGGTTAAAAATAAACCACGCTGGCAGCTCCGCCGGCTCTGTGGTGAGATGTGCTGAAAGCCACTTTCGCAGTGAGGCAGATGCAATAACATCATCATCAAGCGTTATCGCAATTGGTCCGTAGAGTCCAAATATACACCTTAGGACAAATTTATTCCGACTACTGCAGATCTTAACATGATGGGATTTCAGCTTTTACAGTCTTTTGGTGCTGTAACCTCACCGCCGCGATGAAGTGGGCCACACTGCAGTTGCAAATGCACCGTCTTGTACTTGCGTTCTGCTGTAGCATGTTCTTTCCCCTCGTTTCAAGATTTCTCAGATAGCATGCTCTATTCTTGATTCAATGTTGCACCTGTGTAGCTACCAGTGGGAGAAATATGCCAAAGTGGGTCCGTTTCACCTCTGCATGAATGTCTTCCTGAAATCTGCAGCTCAGCTGAAAGGAGACCAACCAGACTGCTACTTTCCATATTTCTCTCAAAATCGAGCTGTGTCAACTTGTGAGTTCTGCCCAAGTTATGATATGAGCACATGACTCATTCAATTCCAGCCATTTTCACTGGAGCAACCCCCTCAATCCCAGCGTTTTACTGGATTTTGACTGATCTTGCAAGGCCCACAGAATATTTGGTTCTAATGCTATATAAACATGAAGATTACCAAAATAAAGTTTGGACTCTCTTCTTTCGGCAGAAAAAAAAAAATTGTTTCTATCTTTTTCCATTCTTCAGCAACCGGCATGACAAAATGCTAAATTTCATGAAAATGGCGACTCCTGGGCAAAAAAACGGAGAAAAAGAGCTTTTTGTAAAAGCATGCATTTCAAGCACGTGAGGCACCACTGCCACCTACTGGTCGCTTTTTTACATTATTTACAACGCAAACAGCTTATTGTCATTCACAGATTGCATCAGACCCTCCCGCAAAAAAAAAGACTTAGATGTATAAAGTACGTCCTTGGTAGGCGGGCACCTAATTTTAAAAAAACGCACAAGTACGTCTTGTGGAATGAAAGAGTTAAGGCTGATGCCATGTTAGTTAGTGTTTTGGAAAAGGAGCCGGTGCCAAAATGCTGAACAATAGCGTCGGCTGCTGGGAAGTGGGCAATTAGCATTTTTCTTTCCGCGATATGGCTCTGCCACTGCAATCATTGGAACCTCTAAAGTTAATCACAAGGCTCCAGCCGAACTTCTTCGAGTTGCCAAACATGTTTTCCCATTGGAAATGGGAAGGGAATGAATTTGGTAAAAGGTAGAGCTAGGGCGCACAAATTGAGGTCACCCTGCACCACCATATTACTGCTATGTCCTTGGGTGTGTGTGTGTGTGTGTGTGTGTGTGTGTGTGTGTGTGGGTGTGC